TTGATATGTCAGATCATCCAAAGTATCAAATTTTGCTTGCAAAAGAAAGAAATTATGAATTTTTTTCTTCTGGAAAATCTTCCATTTTTCTGTGTTCTTGATTATTTGAAATTCTTTGGTTTAAAAAAATAATTATTTTTTGAACATTATAAAAATTTTATGTTTAAAATAGAGAATAATTAACCCGAGTTTTAAAAATCTGAAGATTTTAGCCAATGGTCATTCACTGAAGAGTTACGAATGTTGGAATTAATGTAAATAAGAAATTTGCCAAGTGAAAATTTTGGTCCCAGTTTGAAAATTAGCACCAAATTTTAAACGCGGATATCTCGGGAATAACTTTCACGATAAATACAAAATTTGGTATTTATGTATAATTCGAGGCGTAAAATGGATTTATGGTAAAAAATGCGGTATGTCATTTAAAAAAAAAAGGTCCAATTTTGTGTAAAAATGCATATATTAGAACAGTGCTATATATAAATCTAATATATATCCTAAGTCGCGTTTATGAGAAACGAAAAATAAAGGTTTAACATTTGTCGTTCGACTTACTAGAACGGGAGATATAGAACTCTCCCCCCTTTTTTTATTTACTGTACCCTAATTCAGTTAAGCATTAATAAGATGCATCAGGCATACTGTAGGGCTATGTTTCTAATCCTTCACGAAATTTACCGTTCTACAGAGTACCCTTAAAAAAGAAAAAAATAAATAAAAAGACTGCTTTGAACTTTTGCAGTTTGCACCACCAACGTCAGAATGATCAACATTGTTTTCCTGGTTTGTTCCATGCCTGAATACGAGCTAGTTTTCTCAGAAAATCTTCCACGAAGGTATCCCTTCTCTTAGACAGATAGCTCTAGTTATTTTTCAATGTTCATATAACCTAACCTAGATTTATCGAAGCTCTCTTAGAGAGAATGCCGAGGCATTTTGAGGATTGTGTCAGCAAGCAGGTTGATCACGCACCTTATTAAGAGCCTTATTATTGCCCTTAGAGCTGCTGTTTTTGCTCTATGTTATTGTAATTCCAGACAAAACTGTGTTAAGATAACAGTCCGTGCTTTCACTTCTTTTTTGCGGTGTAGCATGTACTACTATCCGTTTTACTTTTGTACTAAATGTTTTACTACAATAATCCCATATTCGATGATATATCGTAATTTTTAATATTTTGACATACGAACTATAATTTTGTAACTAAGGATGTTCTTAACGATACAGAAATCGTCAACATTTCACTTACGTCAACGTTTCAATTAATAGGTGAAGAAAAATGGAAAAAAATCTATGGAATTTTTTTTTCCGATTAAGTATTTTGAAGCAAGTACATATTTCGATCAAATCTATTTGTTGTTTTTGCTATAGGGCAACACGAACTAAGGCGTTTTTCTAGAAAACTGCGAGCGTTGGCGAGTGTAATTCTACAGCATAAATAATCTGATACATTAATTATAGCCTAAAAGAAGTATTTTTGACAAAGTAAAGGGAAGCTTTCACGGAGGACTTCTCAGAAAAACTTAGTTCTCATGATGCGTTACACATACAGGACCAGAAATCCAATGAAACCAACCAGGTTAGCCTAATCTGGGTCGAATTATCAACACTTTGCCGTTTAAGCTATTTGTGATCTTGTTCATTTCGAATAAAATGTAAAGAGGAGCGTCTGCTCACTAAAACACCAGATTTGTTGTCATCATTGGATGTTTGAGCTAACATGACATTGATTATATTGACATCTTTCATCTTGTAATTTAATTCTATACATAAGATATTCTCAGAAGTTTTAGAATTTATTACAGGTGTACATTAAATGGAGGAAACGATACTTCCCTAAATTGAAATATTTTTTCTTTTCAAATTTAAAACATCAGTTGACTTTCATCAAATAGAACAAATTAGAGGCATTAAACATGAAGAATCTGAAAATTTTCGATTATTTAGACTATGAATGCTTGCTAAAGGAAAAGGATACGTCGTTAACGAGTTTTAAAATAAACTGGCTCGTATTCGCATTACACATTAGGAAAACCACGAAAACTCAGCCAACTTGTTCTGAGTTATTTGAATCTGGGTGGAAAGTTGCCTAACCAAAGAGATATCTTCGTACAAGGATAGTAAAGGTTATACGTGGTAAAGGTACCATTTGCTGGGATATTTTATCTCTTTGCTGGGATTTGAACCCAGATCAAAATACCACTGTTCAGCGATCTTATACATTCCTCCAAACTAGTATTTTAAAAGTTAACGTGTTATACTTGCGTATATAGGAAGAAAAAGATTAATTTTTGTAGATATATATTTTGAGATTTCCAAAATGAAACTTTGATAATGCAGTTAAGAAAACTCACAATAAAAAATGTCGATAAGAAATGGTTCAGGAATAAATAAGGCAACAACTCTGGAGTGAGAATTGAAGATGGCCCTTTAAGAGGTAGCGATATTCATCCATGAAATGAACACACGGGATGATTCATCGTCAAAATATGCTTAAAAATGTTCTCCGAATGAATGTTGCATTACGAAGATACACACACCAGAACTTCCATCTTTCCTCGCAAAGCATTTTGGTGTTACTTCTCACAACCTTTCAGGTTTCTGTCTGCTGTATAGCCGAGTGTTGTAGTTTAAACACTGGAATGTGATAAGATGTTGATTGCTGTCGTTACTTTCGCTGTATTTGCTTTTCTTCTGCTTTATGCTCTATTTGAATAAAATATGGGATTTGCTCAGATCAAATATAATGTGTAATTCAATATAACGTGCTTAAACCAAATATAACGTGTACCTGAATAGATATTTGAGTTAGACAAAGGCTTCTTGCCTAACCTCTATCTCAGTTTTGATCGATGTTTCGATGGCCGATGGAATCTACGGATCTGTTACTCCTCTTCCACTACCACTTGACTCTCAGAGGGCTTTCCTCTCGATAGAGTTTAAACGCTGTTTGCGCCACAAAGACGGTATAATCACAAACGTAAGCGCCTTACCCAGGTTTGGGCCCATATCCAAAGGGATAGGAATCCATCAGATTGCGTTGACTACCATACCTTCTGAAGCGGAAGGGATTCTTTGTGTGGTCTCTGCTTTAAATAAGGCCCTAACATATCCCATAACATTAAATAAGGCCATAACTAAATACGCCAGCTACAGCAGTTAGAAAATATGAAAGCAGCTAAAAATTATTATGTATTTATCGTTAAGTATAGCAATTTTATGCTTATTTACCGAAATTTTATATGCAGTTATACGCGGAAACTGTCGTAAATATCTAGAGTGCAGTGATTGAACATTCAAAATTTAATTTTCTCTGAATAGGGACATTTTTTCCTTATCTAATCTTAAAACTTTCCCTAGAATTCTAGAATTATTTTGAATAAAATTACTAGAAATTTATTTATATCTTTTTTTTAATACCATGTGGAGTAAATGTCATTAAATGGATGAAATGAATGAAACAAAGTTAAAACAAGTTTTTAAGCATCTATTAATCTCGCTGCATTTATTTTATCTTCATCAATAAATAATTAAAAGGATTAATTTTATACTACTGGGAATTCAGACTGGTAAGGTTATTAAGTGTGCAATTTTTTTTTTCTGGTATTTTCAGTATGCCTCTTCTTGCCTACAAGCTTCAAAAGGACTATATTAATAGCCTCTAAAGTTATGCCAGAAGTCAAACCATCGCTTTCATCTTTTTTTTAATCATTTCACTATATTAAAAGTACATCGCTATTTGATTCGGCAAGGGAGCATTTTATGTATCTGAATATATATTTATAAGCTTTTCACTCTTTTATAAGCCATTGTAACCGATTTTTTTTTTTTTTTTGCTGCAAAGTGCTTTAAGGAAACTGATTCATATTTAATTCACAGACATTGAAAACCGTGAAAAATCACGCTGCATTAATAGACTATCTAGAAACTGGAAACTAAATACTGATATATCTTTGTTCTTTTCTTCTAAAATTCCAAACATATGTTTTGTAACAGTTTAAAGCGTCTTTTTTTTTTCTTACCAGAAGATATAGAATTCTTCTGGTAAGCAGATGATACAAGATAAGATAATCTCTGGGCGTTCCCATTTCCATTAATTTAATAGGGTCCTCAACCCCGCCGAACTAGACCCAGTGATTCAACTCCTGTCACAGCACCTTGAAGAGACAGGCACCGACGCACCTAGTCCCCAGGACTTCACTGGTAATCAATTTGCTACCTACCAGTCGCTCGGGCTGTCCGTCGCAGAGGGACATTACCCACCCCAGGAAAACCAGGGTTGCCACCCCGGGCTACTGCAGCCATAAGTTCTAGGACCTGCCAGGCTCACGGACCGACCAATGTGATCTTTACTGGGCCTCCAGAACCACAAGGCCCGTAATTTGCATACCCCGTGACCGAGACTACCTAGGTACAGATCCTTGACAGTAGCTTCGCAGAGTTCCCTACGTCGACCCCTGACGGGGGAGTAGATATGTAGAATATATTATTTCCGTTTCCTTATCATAAATTTCCTTGATTGAAATTTAAAAAAAGAATTTGAAGACTGAAAGAAATACAAGAAACATAATTATTTTCAATTATCTATTTTTAAAATTCAATTAATATTTACTTCGAATTACAAACGTGGATATATTTGCACTATCTGAAGAGGATCATTAATAATTAAAAAAATAACTGGCCCATGACGGCTAATTTAACATATTTCATTTTATGTCAGATATTGAAGCAACCTTTTCTCTTAACTTATATGTCCACGTTTGCAAAAGAGATGAAACTCAGATTGTAAAGTCTATTTAAAAAAAAAATTAAGCAAGTAATGTTACACTTTACAATAATAACAAAGAAAATTTATTAAGATCAATTATATCATTCACTTTCTTTTTTCATCGTATTAAAGGAAGAAAAAGCAAACTATAATTTATTTTAATAGGAAAATCAAGTTATGAATTAAGAAACATTACTCATAACATAACGAGAGAGAAGAATTTTAAACTTACTGGCAACTGGGCGTGAAGGGCCGGGTGAACAATGGCGGCCGAGTGTAGAGCTGTGGATACTGGCACTTCAGTATATGACAGTGGATGATGAGGCCAACCATCTGGAACTGCAGGCAGTAAGGCCCCCATCTCTTCTGAAAAAAATCCGTAGACTAGTCACATAAGTTAAAAAGATTACGTTAATCATTAATAGGTTATTGCATGTGGTGTCTCTGCTGCTAGGTATTTGTCGTACTTCTTTTTTTCATTCTTTCTTTTTAAAATAAATAATTAGTTTCAATTGATTTGAACGCGATCAGTGTTGTAGACTAATAATCCCATTTTAGTATAGGCAGTGTTTAGTAAAAATCAACCTTGTTACAACCACAAAGAGGAATTTTTTTATTATGAATTACAACGGAAAGTTAAAATTTTATTCCGAAATTAGGGTTTGATTACTGGCTTTATGATAGATAAATTTTGGTATGAATTATTTTTATCAATATTAGACACATGCATAATAATACAGCAAAAATAGTGTTCCTGAGTGTGATGCGAATTAAATGTACTTTTCTATATTTGCGTCTTCTGTCAATAAATATCATTCTTACCATATGAATTATTACGTATAAAAAGCGATCTTACATTAAACAGAAACAATTCTGTAGGGCGTTTGCATTTATATTTATTTTGACCAACAGTGGTTATGCGATTGAATGCATTTCTGTGTTATAAGAAGAGAAATAACTTAAGTTTTAAAATTTAAACTTGCGTAAACAAACAGTTTTGTTCCCTATGAATTCGACTAATGAAAAAAACGTTGTAAGCCAAAAGTTGGAAAACCAAACACTGCAACACATATACATTATGAAAATATTCAATATGTTTTAACTGAAATCAAGAAATATGGACGGATAATAGTAATTAAACAAAAGTTAATGAAAGAAATGTTGTTAGCCAAAATTCTCTTAGATCAGCTACCAAATCGCAATAAAACAAAATAATTAAACACCAACTAAAAGCTCAGGCTTTAATAAATTTTTATATGTATAAGAATCATGTTATCTCTGCGAAATATGAACAGAAAAAAGCATCAGATAGTTAAGAAATACTGAGAATACATATTCTTAGAAATCTTATAAGGTATTTTCTTCCTCCTTTCTGCATGCCTTCGTGGTGTAATGGTTATCACACTCGGCGCGTATTCGAGAGGTCCAGGGTTCAAGTCCTGGCGAGGGCGTTGCTCATTTGTTCAGTTTCCTGACACTGAAAAATTCTAAGTTACTCTACAGTGGCGCCCGAACTAAGAAGGTGGTGGATGATGATTCTTCACCACCAGGATTTGGAGATTGGGTCCCCTAATCTCCAGTCGCCCTTTGAAAGGGGGAGTATATAAGGTATTTTCTCCCTTCTTTCTGCCTGCCTTCGTGGTGTAATGGTTAGCACATTCCGCGCCTATTTGAGAGATCTAGGTTCGAATCCCAGCAAGGGCATTGTTCATTTTTCACGTCTCCTGCATCAAAATAACGAAATGACTCTACGTCTTTACTAAATCTCTTCAGGCATGAAAATACACTACACAAAATTTGGAAGTGGAAAGGTGGAAATCTTTTAGTTCGCTTTAAAAGCTACAGATAAGCTTAGAGCTACTGGTGAAGAAGTTAATAACGTACCTTTCTCCACTTGCCCTTAGATCTTAGATGATGAGATAGCTTCACTACAGCTTTGGAAATAATAGCAAGCGTCATGAACTCAGTATTTAATTCTTAAGGAAACAATTCATCTGACGAATGTAATAGAAATTATTACAAAAAAACAATAAAGTTTAAAACGTAATTTCTGAAAACTACAGAAAAAATAAAACTACATTGTTTATAGTTAACATAAGTAAGGGAAGTCAGTCAAATTCGGATTTAAAATTAGGAAATATTCAACTTTATATAATGACTTTTGTTTTGTCTGCAAATTATACGCATTTCAAAGCAGATGAGCGCAGGGATCTTGAATTGCATAGAGGTATTTTTTTAAAATCGAGGTCAGTTGAAATTTTTTTCAATGTTGAAATTTGCCTATATATTTTATTACTATCACAAAACATATCACTTGAATTTTGTATAATGAAATTCAGAATACAAAATTGTAATGCTCAATGAAGAGATCATGTTAAAATGAATTTCAAACCGCAATCAAGGTACATTTTCTTAAAATCATAATATAATGAAAAACAACTGAATAAGTAAGTATTTCTTAAAAGCATTTAAAGCTTCAAGTAAAGCATTTATCTCCAAAACTGCACTACAAACAGAAACAAAATAAAATCTCAGCTGAAGTACTGCATTTTACAGTAAACAAGTTTACTCAAGTATAAGTTAGCAATTAGTAAACAGCTTGTAAAAAAGTTATTGGAAATGATCTTATTATCTTTTGAATTTTTATCGAAAAGGTAACGCTTGTTAGTGACAGATAATACAGTTTTTTCAGATGTTCTATCAAATAATGATTTTCTTGAAATTTCGATGCATAGTAATCTTATCACTTCTTTTGTAAAATAATAATAATATTATTATTATTGCGTAGAATTGATTACCGAAATTAAACATTGCTGAAGAAATTTATAACCAAATTCTTGATTAAGAAATTAAATTAGGCTACTAAATTAGGTTTTATAATTACTTTAAATGCAAATTAATAAAAATCTGAAATCCAAAGGAAATTTGCATAGTAAGGTTGGTAATTCAGATCATTACATCTTTCGTATGCCCATTTATTTTCCCCAAACACTCCTAAAAACCTTTGGGTCAAAGCATATGTAATATTAAACAGATCAAAACTAACATATGCAGTTCTATTAAAAACAATACTGGTCTTGTTTCCCAACGCTTAGCTTTTATTAGGACTAATCTAGCTCTTATGCTTGCGACTCTGTACATAATACACTGCAAGTATTAAGCTGCTGTTATTCTACTAGATTTGTGATTATATTTATACATAATTTGTATTAAATATTTTATTGCACAACGCACTTTATTTTGGTTTTTGTTGCTATATGTCACTAATTCTGTATTAACCCTGTATCTGAATATATTCATTTAATTCATTTACTAACTGTAAATAACATGCAATATTTTTCTTTAAGAAAAATTAGCCAACAGTATATTAAGTGATGAAATTTAATTCTTTACAAACTTAATTTTTCTTAAAGAAATATTAAAAAACTTTTATACATGCTTATGTCATTGCACATATGATAATTACGTCACGTGCATAAATTTTAACTGTATATCATATCAGTGTTACTCTACTATGCCACCATTGCATGTATCGCTTGCAGTAACACCTTTACATCTGCTCATGTATGCATATTATACCGTTAGCTCGGATGGCCAAACAAATCTAAATTCACAGTTAAGGCAGCTCTTCAGTCGATGGTGTCCGCCAATTACCTCGAGCAAAAACATCCTCGACAAAAAAGCTGCGGAAAAAACAATACAAACAGAAAACATGCCGTACAAAACACCTTGGCAGAAAAACAAGCAAATGGAAAACTTCACATTTCTAACACATTGCGGTACGAAACACAGTCGTAAATAAAAATAAAGAGGTGACAAAATTTCGCAATTTGAAAATATTGTCGTACAAAACATCGTGATAAAAATACAACGGCTATAAAACAGCAAATGAAAAAAAGCACCTCAGAAATGTTCATTTTATACGTCCAAGACTTTTAAAGCTCTGTGAAACATATTTTTTGCGACTGTAATATTATTTTCAGTACAGAGAACCCTCTCTAACGCGACTATCTCTTAAAAATAAATTAATATCTTTATTAAATATCACTTCTCTAAGATGAACACTTCCACGGAAAACTTAAATCCTCTGAAACCATGAGTGGTAATCTTAGAGGAGATTCAGCTGGTCAAAGTAATATTGCAATCGAGAATTCTAAAAGTCTTGGCTACATAAAATTCACATTCTGCGAAGATTTTTTTATTGGATGTTTTGTAGCTGCTTTACATTTTACCTTGATGTTTTGCATGACAATGCTTTCAAATGTGAAGTTGTCACCACTCTAGCGTGATGTTTTAGGTCTTTGAAGTTATCTCTTTTCCTTTTTTTCCTAGCACCATGTTTTGTACGACGATATTACCTCCTTGTGTTCTTTTCTACACCAACGTTTTCGTCTGCGAGGTTTTTGTTTTCACCTGTAACCCACTTGGCTGGAGGAAGGAATCAAACAAAATATTATTCTGTAAATCTTTGTATCCGATCCATACTTATTTAAATGATCGTGCAATCTTCGTAAGCTACCTGTATCTTTCTAGCACTTTTAGATCACTATAGTTGATTGACTAAGATCGACTTATTTTCTGCAGAAAGCGATATAATTTCTAAATAACATTGGAATAACCAAATAAATTTAAATGCCGATATTCAAATTTTGGAAAAAATAATGCTAGATGCTATAATGGAGATGAATACATATCCAAAGGAATTACGATTATATCATGGACAACGGTATTCAATATCAAATTATATTTTTGTTTTCTCAGCACGGAACTGTGTCAGTAAATATAAAATCCCTTCTATGTTGAAATGATGAGATGCTTACCCTGAAATATCGAACTATGACAACAGTATTTTGGTGAAGTGGTATGCACCGCTAATTAAATACAGAACTGTCTACTCAGAAAATCTGAGAAATAATTTTTAATTTTTTTTCATTTAGGTTTTTATTTAACCAAGATTTATTAATCTTATATACCTGTGGTGCTGTGCGTAAAATAATACATTTGCACAATAAACACAATACACAATTGATTATATTGCCTATGATAGTTAGCTACATATATTTCAGAGTGACAAAAACAAGTCTAAGTTAGTTTCCTACTGTTCTGTGCGTGAAGAAAATCGAAACTCATAATACGTCGAGCGCAAATGGGAAGTCTTATTTGAACTGATATAAAAACATTCTACTCTGCTAAAAGGTTAAAATGGCATCCTCTATAGAAAAAAATATCTAAAAATTACAGAAAGACGAATTAGAACGTGAAATGAACGCAAATAACATTATAAGCAGTGCATACTTTGTAATGAAATCAAGCAATGATATCAGAGGTTGATATCAGAGATACGTGGCAATGATATCAGGGGATGA